GCCCCGCACGGCAGCCGGGGCCATGAGGGGCCCGTCAGACAGGAAGGGCTCGTGCTGTCCGGACAGCGACAGGCAGCCTCCCCTGGCACAGCCGTCGGGCGCCTGAGGCCCTAAACCCACGTCCCTGACCGAGCAATTTGGAAACTAACCCCCAAAGCAGGGAAGAGCGTGGGAACTACCGGCAAGGGGTCCACAGCTGACAGCTGTGCAACGGCCCACACCCAGGCAGAGGCGGGAGGCGGTGACGCAGGGACGGCCACCACCGAAGCCCGGCCCGACAGGAGGCCGCGGGCACCGCGCAGACACGCGAGGCTCCCTCTCCGTGGAACGTCTTCTAGTACCTTCCTGACAGCCCATTCGCATGCTCTGGGTTTTCGGCAGCAAATACCTGCTACCTGCCTGCCCCTCAGGGTGTTCGCGCTTAGAGGGAGGAGGGCGCCGGGCCACACCTTCGCACTGGAAGGAGCCGCGGGTGTTCTCGCAGAACTGCTGCTCACCGCAGGGGGGCGTCTCCGCCGCACACTCGTCCACGTCTGCAACCAACATCCCCGGTTAGCGAGCGGCCCTGCCACTGCGGGGCCCAGAGCTGGTTCCCCAACACGACGCCCAGGGCCAGCCCGGGAAGAGAGTGGCCATGGTGTGGGGACAAAGGACCCAGGTGCCACAGGCAGGGGCCACTATGAGGGACGGTGCTGGGTGAGCGCCCTCTTTCTCACGGCCTCGCACAAGCCCTGCAACCAGGCCGGGCTAGGGGGCGGGGTCACACTCGCCCTGACCCTGCACTGGACATGGGCACACAGCCTGACTGGCTTAAGGCCACGCAGCTCTGAGGGGCGAGATGGGAACGCCAGTGATACTGGTGGGAGCCTGCAGGGCCGTGGGGGTTGGGAGGGGTGGGGGTTGGATCCTGCAGGGTAGGGGGAGGAGCCTGCAGGACAGGGAGGGAGCCTCACCCACGCAGGCGCCGTCCTCCGGGGCCCAGCCGGCTTGGCACTGGCTGCAGTCTCTGTTGGTCGGGCCAGTGCACAGCTTGCAGGACTCGTTACAGGCTGCAGGCAGAGGGGGCGCTGTCAGCAGGGGACCAGCCTGGGCTTCCTGCACGTCAGGGGTCTCCCTCCAAGGAGAACGCGCGGACATGCCGCCAGCCGTGGGCTTACAGCCCCCCAGCAGCCAGTCAGCGTGCGCCTCGGAGGGCGCCGCCCATGTGCCCGCGTGGTCAGTGGGCCCATCACAGCCGAGAGGGTCTGTCTGCCTGTAACTCACTGAGGGGGAGCCCAGGTACTGGCCCTGAAGACCAGGTAGGAGACCCACCTCCAACACCAGGGTAAGCGGGGGGCGTGTCTTCTGGGAGGGACCTAGGACCAGGAGGTCCTCCATGCGGCCTGCACCCCCTCCCGCCCCGCCTCCTCAGTGACACCGGCCGGCTCCGCCTGAGTGACAGCAGGCACCCGGCCTCCACACTCCACGCCACATGCACCCGGACACTCAGCAGGGACCAGGGCCGGCAGTCCTGCAGGGGGCGCGGGGGCACGCCCTGCACTAGAACACGCCAGGCGCCCGCCCGGTCACAAGAAAAGACCCCGTGGATGTCACAGAACTGCCACCCGAGCTGCCCCTAGGGGTCAGGAGAAAAGTGACACTTCTCCCCTGGGGGCTGTTTAGGGACAGGAAGTGCGGCCACCCGGTGCCTGGTCTTGTCCCTTCCCTGCCCCGCCCCCGCCCCCGCACACCTGGGCAGG